GTATTTTTGCTGTTTTTAGACTCTGTCTTTATTCAAAGACAGTCAATGACAACTCATTCTAAAGAGCAAACATACAACATGTATGAAAAATAAACAAAACACAGAAAACCTGTAGGATGGTAGTTTTACTGGAATACAAACTGTTTCCTCAAACATAATTCCTTTAAACAAACAAGTAAAAATACTGAAATGTACCTCATTTCATTTCTCTTTTATTAACAATTATTCATTCAACATATATTTAGTGAGATGGGAAATAGGGTTTTCAAGACTCAGACGCCAGGTGACATGATAAAAGGAATATGGATTCTGGAGATAATGGTGCAAGTTCAAGTAAGGTTCTTTCTTCACTTTCTGATTATACCATCTAAATTTCAGTTTCTTCATCATGAAAATGGGGCTAAAGCCTACTTTATAAGATTCTCAAGAAGTTTGCAATCTAGGTAAGAAGGTGAAACATACAAAGGTAATCATATTCCAGAGGTGGAGAGCGATGAGTATCCCAAGTGTTATAGATAACACACTGACAATTCAAGAGAAAAGTTTTTTTTTCTTTTAGAGACAGAGTCTCACCTTATTGCCCATGGTAGAGTGCCGTGGCATCACAGCCCATAGCAACCTCCAGCTCTTGGGCTCAGGAGATTCTCTTGCCTCAGCCTCCCGAGTAGCTGGGACTACAGGTGCCCACCCCAAAACCAACCAATTTTTTTGTTGCAGTTTGGCCGGGGCCAGCCTGAACCTGCCACCCTTGGTACATGGGGCTGGCGTCCCACTCACTGAGCCACAGGCACCACCACAGGAGAAAAGTTTTGCATTTAGGTGGAATGTGAAGAAAGAGTTCTCACAGGAGTGTGCACTGTGAAGAAGTGGTGGCCATTAAGAGCTGGGTAAGATTTAGTACCATAGATGGAGTAAGAGAGCTGAAGAAGCAAATTCCCTGGACTGAAATGATGGTATACAAGTAATAGCTAGTAGAGAGAGAAATTCCTGTCTCTATCTTTAAGTACAGCATAAATGAACAAAATCATCAGAACCTACCAGTTTTTTCTTAAGTTAATATTCATGGGAATTAAGAGAAAATAATTTTTCATATTCAATCATTGTAATGAATTTACCAAGGGTTAGAAGAGATAAAAACCTAGCTAAGGACCACTTATTTTCTCTTGTTCTTAGAGACAGAGTATCCACTTCTAAAGCAAAGACCTGGATGTGCCTTGCCCTTCCCTCACTCCCAATCCTACCAATGATCCCTCCATCAAACATGGCTTCAAGCATTGAACCCAGTGGTAGATTTCAGCATCGAGGTTACCATATACTTTACTTTCCCATTTCAATCAGAGGCACCTAAGAGAAAAGGCTCATTCTAATTTTTAACAGAAATAATCTCTGTGGTTCAGTACTTTTTCCAATTTCAATCACTTGGTTTCACTATACTTTCTGATGACAGTTTTGAAAACAAGCTTGGATGCAGAGAAAAGGGATTTTTAGTGACCTATAATGCACCTCATTTTTCAAAAATAAAATTAAAGAAATAAAGGAGTCCTAAGAAAAATACACAAGACATTAGAATAGATCAAAAGGGGAGGAGTCTGGAAGGTAACAAATGAAGGAAGGTGAAACTAACGTCCTGCAGCAATCCCGGGCAGTATAAGGGAAATTACTGGACTTGTCTTTTTCTGTAGTTATGTTTTTAATT